CAACAAAACAATGCAAATCATATAAAATGAAAGTCAGCAGAAGAAGAAAAAAATCTTATGATGTCTACTCCTATTTACAAGAAAAATTATAAAAATAAAATTTATATAAATTTCAAACAATAATAAACCAAATAAAACAAAAACAAAAATGAAACTCCTCAAACAGTAACTCATACAAACACAAATTAAACAATTTCATATTTCTTTAACAATTTTGATTTGGTCATTTTTTAATGAATTCATTGATCCAATGCTTTTATAAACATTTTCCAGATTAATCCAAATGCATGTTACAGGTGTGGGGTTAGTTTAGGACCAAGGCTTAGGTTAGTTTTAGGGTCAGGTAAGTTTCTGTGAGGTTAATTTTAGAGTATATAGTCAGGGTTAGTCTATAAAGTCTAAAAAACATGAATGGAAGTCAATGGAAGGTCCCCACAGGGTCAAGAAACAAACGTGTGTGTGTGTGTGTACCATTACTGGCATAAACACCCACCTTATCAAGACCAGTAGTCCTTATAAGGACCAAGGACGAGTCCTAATATGGTGGAACTACATTTTTGGACTGGGAGTTAGATTCAGGACTACGGTGTGAATTGAGTTTAGACAAGGTTTTAGGGTATGTAGTGGAGTGGTTAGGTCTAGGGTAAGGGGTCAGGGTTAGGCTGTAGAAATGACTGAAAAATGAAGTGAAGTAAATGCAAAGTCCCCAGGAGGATAGAAAAAACACCTCTGTGTGTTACACAGACATGTTTTGTATTTTATTGTATGAATGATTTCAATATATAAAGGTTTGCCCTCTCAATGCGGGCTGACACACTGCATGAGCACTACCTACTGAGCAGGTTTTGTATATTACTCAAGTATGTCATGTAGACTCAAAACAAGTTGAGTTCATTAAACATTTTGCCATGCATTATGTAGAAAAGCTGCTGTTGATGCAGTTTGTACAGAAAATGGTTTTGTACCTCCATGGTTCCAGATTCAGTTCATCAGCGCTGTGGAAGCTGATCAAGTCTCCTCCAACGGCTCTGCAGAAATCTCTGGCCTCGTACCAAGTTCTCTGTTTTGAAAGCTCATTGTATGCCTTTAACACATGGAGTTCAACTATTATTATGTTATTAGAGATTATTGTCCTCAAATTATTTCTGCTTAATTTTTGGGAGAAATTCTTCAATGATTTTTTAGTTCTTTGAAATTCTTTAAAAAGTTTTCTCGTCAGAGGTAGGAGTGAAATTAATTGTACCCTATAACAGACGTTTCTTGATCTGAATTTGGTCCAGCCCCGTTCACATGTGGTGGAGGGAACAGTAGGTGGGGCAGGGGTGGCAACAGTCCCCACTGCCTGGTGTTTGCAGATGTACTTCTCCCTGTTGGTGCAAGGCAATACATCCCAGAGGCCTGCAAATCTCCCAGTTGCCATTGCAACACAACCCTGACTCTGCCCTTGTTTTTCAACAACACAAAATTGTCAGTTGTCTTTTGTTAAGTCATTTTCAAATGCATATTTAATGAAGATGATATCTTATACCTGGCATTTCAGAATTCCAGTGAGTAAATCTCACAGATTTTGTGTTGGTCCACTCAAAAACATCTTTGTCCTTCTGGTTTGAGAGCCCCAACCAGAAATGTTTCTCTGGTCTCAGACCCACCAAGCTGACAAGGAAGGCGTTATCCATCCTGGAAACATGTTTAAGAMGATGAGATGGTTTATGATTGACTTGTGCAAATTCAAACTGGGTTTGACWGCTTCACAACATAAATATAAATAAGCACATCCACTTAAAACTTTGTAGTTTTAAAAATCCGGACACATTTGAATAAAAAAATCTAGACTTGATCTGTTTTCATTTATTTAGTTTAACCTCAAACAAACAATACATAATACAAGAGTATGCCATCAATAATTCTCAAAAAGAATAAAAAACACACAGAGATAATTTGAGAAAAATTTCAACTAACTTAAATTGTTCATGTTCTGCTTAACATTATTATTCTTTCACATTGATGTGAGATATTTGTCATTTGTCCTTTTCTTAAGATCCTGTCAAAACACCAAGGTCTAAAATTTGAACCATGCGTTTTTTTATTTATTTATTTATTTACATTTCAATTGTTTTACGGCAGTTTTGTTGTTGTGTTGAGGATCAGTGTCCTGTTGCATAAATTAAACTGGACTGCACATTTAAATCTTCTGAAATTCAAAGAATGGTTGACTCAGTGAATGTGGGGTCAAGGTCCTGTAGAGGTAAAGATGAWACCAAATCATTGATGATTGTTTCCAAATGTTCTTTAAAACTGTTTGGTGATACAATGTGCTTTCCTTTCTTTTTTATTTTATTTTTTCTTTCAGGGATGGTTATGCAGTTTTGCCTAAAATCAACAAACTGTAAAAACGATGTTYTTGTATTTGTCACATTTGTTATCATATATTGTTTGTACCTGGATGAAACATCAGCCAAGTAAGAATCTGAAGTCCTGCAGAGGTCTTTTGCTTCATCAAACGTCTTTGTCTCAGTCCCAATAAAATAGCAGTAGTTGCCGTGTCTTTTCCAACCCTTACAGAAAAAATTAGGAAATGTCTCATGTTRCATGACTAAACCATTTAAATAGTGCTTTTAAACATGTTTTCTTGTTTTCTTTATTGTTTAAAGATATATAATAACTGTATTTTTCCAAACTCCAGTTTGCTTTTTCATTCAAGACAGAATATGAAAACTTACTTATTCTAAAAGCTGAAAGAGATACTCACAGCCCTGCAGCCCGGGTTTTGTTCCACTTCGTCTCCAGAGCGTTCAGGTGAACTTGTTTTCATACAAATGAAGCCGTGTTTCTCCTGACAACCACGGTCGGCCCAATTTCCACTCTGCAAAGGAGAAATGCGCAAAATGTTTTCATTGCTAACACTGGATGTATGAACTGGTGATCAAACTAAAGAAACACATGTAGTGCTTAGACAATGAGCACAAGTTTTCCTAAACAACAAAAGCAAATGGACTTTTGCCGCATGTTCTACGAAACAATGCATCAGCTGCATAGTTTGCTATAAACCTGGTGAGTTTTAATCACAGAAGACAGAAAATCCACAGCTAATCCTCACCTCTCCTCTGATAAGGACACAGTCTTCTGGGCCTGGGGTGACAGTTGGTTTTCCATACTCCCAGCTGGTGAAGCTGACTGTGGAGTGATCAGCCCAGTCAAACAGGCCTTCTGTCTTCTTGTCATTCAGTCCAATCCAAAGCTCATCTGTGGATGCTGCAAACAGAAAAATTAATATGACACTTTTGTTTGTCAAAAAACTGTTTTATATTGACTACAGCTAAAACTAATATTGTACAATATGCAACAAAACAGAAATGTGCTTTGTAACTGGAAATTAAAAGGAGAAGTACACTTAGTTTAAAACCTCAACACTGTTTTAATATCATTATTCTTATTAATTTTTATTGCTTTGCAGCAGTACTTGATAGTTACTTATGGCGAAAACCACAAAGCAGGTTTATGTTAAATGTTACCAAAAGATGGCACCAGAAGAAAGGTTAGTATGCTCCAAACAGTAGCAGTGATTTGTACCATATCCAAGCTGAGAGATGACAAAGCTTTGGTCCTCCACATTGCGGATGCTCACGAGGTCCCCTTCTTCTTTACGACATGCTACCTGAGCATCAGACCATGTTTTCTTAGTACGATTAAGGTGGAAGCAGTGGCCGTTGTATGGAATCCATGGTGCTGAGCAGAATCCCATGTCAACACCTGCTTAACAAAACAGCAAAGTTAACTTGAGAAATCAAACAATCCATCCATCCATCCATTTTCTTCCGCCTATCCGGGGTCGGGTCGCAGGGGCAGCAGCTTCAGAAGGGAGGCYCAGACCTCCCTCTCCCCAGCCACTTCTTCCAGCTCCTCCGGGCGAAATCCAAGGTGTTCCCAGGCCAGCCGAGAGACATAGTCCCTCCAGCGTGTCCTGGGTCTTCCTCGGGGCCTCCTCCCGGTGGGACGTGCCCGGAGGTATTCCAGTATTCCGGAAATCAAACAAATATTGTACAAATATAAGATTTTCTAATGTCTGAAAAGAGGCAAACTCTTTAGTTACCTGCTGTTGGAGAAGGCAAAACTCCTTTACTGTAGCAGATGTAGCCCAGTTTTTTGTCACAGCTTGAACTTTGCCAGGAGTACCTCACAGCTCCATCAACAATTCCACAAACATGTCCAGGATAAGAAAGTGGATGTCCTGAAACAAGACAATAAAATAAAATTACAGGTTTTTACTCACTTTTTTCAGCTAATGTTTAAAATTTGGCAAAGCTTTCTAAAAATGCTAATCATAACACTGAGGATTGATGAAAACCTAAAAAAGATATGGTTAGAAACAGCAGGAGGACCATTAATCCTMACTTAATATCTGCTTTTTGAGTCAACATTTAGGCTGTTGAACCATCAGAAGTTTTTTTAATTTTTATTTTAAGTAAAACAATGTTATGTTTTTTGTGTTTACTACAAATTATGTCAAGTGAACAATTGCTTCTGCAAAGGTGTAAAAAACTAAATCAGTTAATTTAGAGACACAATAATGCTGCGTTCACACCGAAAGCGGTTTCAGCTTCAAAATCGCAGCCAACGCTGAAGTTGGTCGCTTGTGCACTTTGAGGTCAGACGTAGGTCAGCTCTTGAAGCGCTGCACGGCAAGAGCCTCCCCGCCCCTCCCTCCTCTGTCGGGCTCTGTTTAATGTCGGACGAGGAAGTGGCYTTGCTTTATTTGCAGAGAGCAAGAGTATGTCACGCTCATCAGATAATTAATTCATAATTAATTCACCAGATAATTCAGAGACATTCTGTTTCGTCACCCAGGAGCTGCGGGAGAGGCTCACAGCTCGCTTTCAGGACTATTTTTGTCCCGAGTCCAGTCTGATGAGTCGCTGCCACGCATTGGTGTGGATATCTCTGTCAGGACACAGACTGCAGGCACTCGATTTCAGCTAAAGAGCTCCTCTCCATCTGTTTC